GCCCTCTGTTTTGAAGCCAGCTCTAAGCTTTTGATAGGAGGACTGTTTCCATCCATGGCACCAGATGCAGAGTGGTACCCTTGTCAGCTGAGACAGTTCTCCTCTCCATAAATCTAAAGGATATACATTTGAGAAATGTGCCTTCAGTACAACACATTGGCTTGCACCATTGCTAAGGTCAGGCTCTCAAGGGAGGCTGACCTTGAAAGCAGAGCTCATGTTTAACAATATCAACCTGCATGTTACTCTGAGCCAAAACCCATCAAAAGTGGACAATGTTTCCCCATGTGTAACCTTTCCTTTCCCTCCATTCATGTCTCTGATTGCCATTGTCATGCAAAGAGATCTTCTTTCATCTCCTGCCTCGTTGACTTTCACGTGTGTTTTTTGTCCACAGATTGTACTCGGATTATCTCTACTTTGCCAGTGCCAATAAATCTGCAGAAGATTTTCATGAAAAGGTGGCAGAATCACTGCAGCTGTTTGAAAATTGTGTGCTGGATTATTCCCTGAGAGCCTGTGTCTACAACAACACCCTGAACAATGCCATGCCCGTAAGTATTTCCAAGACCATTTGATTCCTTTCTCCTTCCGTGGTGCCTTGTGGCAAGGTTGGTAAAATACTGGGCAAATAAGCATCAAGAAATAGAACTTTCTCCCTTTGAATTTGTAAGCAGGTGACATGGATATAAATGTAAGCATGTAGAAGCTGATGTGGTGGCTCAGCTGTCTCCTCAGTCTGTTCCCTGATGAAATAATAGTGCAGCCTTTCTATTGTGCAAACCAATGGAGAGCACATTTAGTGAAGGTTGCAGAATTATTGAGGCTGGAAAAGACCTCTGAGATCAAGTCCAGCCTATGACCAACACCACCACCTCAGCCACACCATGGCACCAAGTGCCACATCCAGCCTTTCCTTGAACACCTCCAGGGATGGTGACTCCACCACTTCCCTGGGCAGCCCATTCCAATGCCTGATCAGCCTTTCCTTGACGAAGTGCTTCCTAAGATTGCAGATCTCTCCAAAAATTAGCTCTGGCAAAGGTCTTCGTGGCATGAAATTGCCTCAAAATCAGAATCAATTATAAATTCTTTTACAAGAAAAGGCTACCAATAACCTGCCATTTAAAAAAAATATTATGCACATGAGAAAATGATAAAAGGAAGTACAGAAACTGCTGGCAGGAGAATGGGTATTACAGGCTCAGTATTCCAAAAATCACATTTTTAGTGTAGAGCTGACTTCAAATTTTGCCTGAGGGGGGAGAGTAATATGTAAGAGATTGACTTGAAGTATCACATCTGGCCAGTTTGCCATTAAATCCTGTTTTATTTGCTCAGGCTATGAAAGACTCAGAGGGAATTCTTCCCTCCTTTTTCTCCCAGGGTGAAGTTATTGCCTCTTCCACTTGATAAAATAACCATTAAGAGGTGCATTGCACAGGCTTGAGCCCCACAGCAGTAGGGCAAGCAGAACAACCCTCTTGCTTGTGTTGGCAGGTTTACAGGAGCTGCTGATCTTTGGTGATAGACTCCAGGACCTCCCCATACATGAGCTGCTGCTGGGAAGTACCATAGTGCTCTCCAGTCATCTGCTTGCACAAGCACTTTTCTTCCAGGGTGAGGAGAGAAAGGCAGAGAGAGAACCAGAAAAAGCTTTTCTTCTTATCTTTGTCCTCAGGGTGCAGAACCAGAACCTTACTTGTGAGACTGCACCTCGAATCCTGGGATCAGTTTTGGGTCTCTCTGGAGTGTGTCCAGAGAAGGGCAACTGAGCTGGGGAAGGGTCTGGAGCACAAGACTTATGGGGAGCAGCTGAAGGAACTGGAGTTCTTCAGCCTAGAGAAAAGGAGGATGAGGGGAAACCTTCTGCAGCTGCCTGAGAGGAGGTTGGACTGGGGAGGGGTTGGTCTCTTCTCCCAAAGAACAAGTGATAGAACAAGAGGAAAAGGCCTCAAGTTGTGCCAGGGAAGGTTTAAATTGGATATTGGGAACAGTTTGCTCCCTGAAAGGGCTGTCAGGCCCAGGCTGCCCAGGGCAGGGTGGGAGTCCCCATCCCTGGAGGGGTTTCCAAGCCATGTAGATGTGGTGCTGAGGGACATGGGGCAGTGGTGGCCCTGGCAGGGCTGAGTCAACAGTTGGACTTGATGATCTTAAAGGTCTTTTCCAACCAAAACAAGTCTACGATTGGATGATTCATTTGTTGTCTCAGGCAGCCCTCTTTCCAGGATGCCTCTTTCCAGAGAGCCACAAGCAGGTGTTCATAACAAAACACAAATGCTCAGTGTGCTCCTTTGTGGCCTTTTACAGCTGCTTCTTCAGCCAAGTTGCTGAAGTCTGTTGTGTGCATGGGTTGCTATGTATGGAAAAAACAGGGAGCATTTTCTATGGTCAGCTCATTTGATTCCTAATTATGCAACTGCACCAGAAGAATTTTATTTTTCTATTTGTTGATATATTCCTGAAACAAGAAAGGTGCTGCAGACATTGTCACTGCTGCTAAATGGTGACCTGTAAAGAAAGGGGTGTTTTCCAGCTTCTCCTCACTGAGGGTCAGTGAAGAGCATCTTCCCCAGAGAAAGGCATGGTGAGCCAGGGTGATCCAACTGGAAGTGCAGAAATGGACATAATGGAGGGGAGAACAGCTTGAGAAAACCTACTGATGCCTTTGATGTAGGGAGGAAAGCACTGGAATTTTATGGAAGGAGACAATTTGGTTCAGAAGAGAAGGGATGAAGAAGTCAGTACAACACACTGGGTAGGGAGAAAAATCCAGGTTCTTGCTGATCCCCCCCAAAATTGAAAATTAGGGGGACATATTATTTAAAATTTGTCTTTCCAGTGAAAAGCTTTAAAAAAGTTTCTGACCCCCCTTGGGAAAGCACTGCAATCCCAGACCACATCCCCCTTGCACTCACCTTCATCTCCCAGGAGAAAGAAAAGGAAAACTCATCAGGGTTGAGCTGCTGCCCTGCTGGATTCTATATCTTAGGCTGATGTTTTAATCAAATAAGGTGTTTCAAATCCTTGTGTAGCAGAAATATGTAGAAATCTGCTAAACATGGAGCTTCTTGCTGCAGGCAGCCAAAGACATGCATCCAAATCATACATTATGATCAAAAAGACTTAGCAATTATTCACAATATGGCTTATTTTAGTGGAATTTTAGGTATCAGTGGAACTAGTGAGAGAGATTATTTGTTATCTGACTTCTGTGATAATGTGACTTGAAGACGTTAAGTCTCTTTTATGAAAGATACTTAGGACTTGGGTTTCATGTTTCTCTTCTGAGCCTGAGGGGATTTAGAAAAATATTTATAAGCACAGTTGGAGACTGGACTTTTAAGAACACCAGACTACCCTTTTCATGTTTCAACTTGTTATATAAAATCGAGGAGGGAATAAAAACAGAGATTAGGTCAGGACAGGCTGAAAATCTGGCTCTTCACATCTCTGGTATTGACACAGTCAGGGCTCTCAATGCATACTCAGATGATGGACCATTAACACTGTTTAGCAGCCACTGCTGCTTCACCTTAGCTCTGCATCTAATGATTGAAATCAGAGGATAAAGCAAATGCACCCAAATCTAATTCCTGACACCAAATAAGAATATTTGTACTACTCATGGCAGAGTGACCTGGTGCAGCTGATAAACAAGGCGAAATAAGCAGCCTTAGGGCCTGGGAAAGGTAGCAGGACTAAGCATCTTCCACTGCTGTCCATCCAGAGCCTGAAAGCCCTCAGTGTCTCCATGAAGACTGGCTCATCCCAAGCGTGGAGGAGCATGGAGGTGAGGTGGCCAAGCATCCTGCTCTATGTGGTTGTCTCTGTCAGGGCTTTCATGCAGCCCTGTGGCTGATGTAGCAAGTGCACAGCCAAGCCCTTAGTAAAATGCCATCTCTAACCAGCAGAAAGGCCTTTTGCAAACATTTCCTTAAGCTGCACTAAAAATGAGAGGAAGATCTTAAAAATGTCCAACTCCTATTTTTCCATCATCCCTCAAAGGCACATATTTGGGATTTTTGCCCAGATGACAGAGGTGAGTATTGCTTTGTTACTGCTAGAAGGTTGTGAGATGAATTAATTTTTGTTTGGGTTTTTTTTTTTTGTGTTTGCAGGTGAGGTTACAGGTGGGGCTCTATGTTGTGTATCTTTTGGACTGGCTGACAGTTTTTGACAAAGATCAGATACTCGTTCTTCGCTTGGAGGATCATGCATCAAGTGTGAAATACACCATGCACATGGTGTTCCAGTTTCTGGATCTGGGTAGGTACCTTCTGGCTGTTTTAAGATACAGGCAAAAAATCATTTTTATCCTTCTAGGTAATTTTTTCTTTATTAGGAGACAAAGCAGAACTGTGGGAATCTGTCTTGAAGGATGCATAAATCTTTTTGCCTGGAGTCAAGCAAAATTCAAATTCCTAAATTGAATCTTAATAAGACTGTATCAAGAAAAAAACCCACCAGAAATCCCTTTAAATTGTAGGAATATGTTTTACCTTAGAGCAGCCAGTCCTGCCTCTGAAGGCACTCAGGGCTTGTTTGCCACAGGTTTCCAGAGGTGCAAGAGCTCTCCCACACAGTTTAAACAACTTGAAATGCTATTGTGGTGTGCATGCTGCTGCCAGCCTGCACCAATCCAGAATCTCAACCTAAGCATGAGGAAAGGTTGTGTTTCCAGCCATGGAGAAGGAAGAACTGGGGTGTTTTTGCTGTGTGGCTTGAGACATCTGTTGCTAATCCTCAGAGAAATGCTGGCAGAATAAATGTTGCCCAATATTGGTTCCACAGTAGCAAGAGGATGAAAACGTGGCTTCAAAACACCTTGTCTGGTCCAAACACTGGTCTAGATGATGAGAAAGCTTGAACGTAGCAGACTGAACAGATGAAGAGCTTGGCATCTTCTTGCTGAATATGGTTTATGCTAGAAAAGTCTGAGAGTTTTTATCTTGCTGAAGTAGATTGTCAAGGGCTCATGTTTATTCCTGGAGTAGGGGCATCACTGTGCCTGTGCACCACTTCCACCTCACTGCCAGCCCAAACCCAACAATAAAAGGGCTTCCATGAGGGAGGCTTGTGGAGTTTCGACCAGGAATTAAACAACTTGCATCACAAAATGAAATAAGAACATAAAATATCAGCAGCTCCAACACAACAGGATGTTGTACTCAATCTCAATTGTTTTCTGAAAACATGGGGTTTTTTTCCCTCCAAAATGGTTTGTGCTGCTTGTTTCAGAGATGATTAATTAAAGAGAAATTAAAACATATTATTTCCATATTTACTAACAGTGATGTATTTTACTAATCTAAGCTGGTTTTCAATATTCTGAAACATCATCACTGCTAACACAAATTCCATTTGTCTTCCCTTGGCAAACCTTCCAAGTTAGTCATTTGTCTTCTTTAGCACAGGCATTTTCTCTGAAATATTTTAAGATAACACTCTGTTTTTCCACAGGACCTCTAAGTGAGAAACAAGAAGCTCTAATAACAAAGAGTCCTGCATCAAACACTAGAAGACCTGAGGACAGAAATCTGGGACCTATGCTGCCAACAACAAGGGCAATTTTAAAAGATTTCTATAGGCCTTTTAATACAAAACTGGCACAAGTTCTTTTTGATGATGCTTTTTTATGGAAGAGGACATAATATGTACATTTAGTGCCACAAATACAGTGCTTAAAAAGGAGGTTTTATTTTTTTAAATTCTATTTTTGTGCGTGGATATTTACTTTCTCCCCCCCCCCAATTCCAAAGAGAAGCTGATTGAGGAGTTGAGACTCTCACCTTCAGTCAGCACACTTCACTACAGTTATACCACATTTTCCTTGTGAGAATGGAAAGCATCTTGCTTGCCAGTTTATTGCAACTTCTTTTACCCCAGCAAAAGAGCAGAGTGGAAAAGCATTAGTACAAAGATCTTGTCTTGCACTCTCTGTGGGGATGTTGAAGTTTAACCTTCTCTAAGATGCTGCAACACACAATTAGCATCAGTTTCCTACAGTTAGACTTATAATCTCATTTTCAATATGTTATTCATTCAATTTTTCAAACTATCAGTATCATTTAGCCATTAAATTTTTTAATTGAATTCAACCTAAAATTTTGTTTTGTTTTGCTTTCAGCATATTCACAAATGGTCTTCACTCTCACTAAGGTTTTTAGATTTCCTTCTTTCTGAAACAAAGATAAAGGATAAATGCATTTGCACATATTTCCAAGTCTAATTTATAACTTCAAGCTGAATGGCCTTCCTTTTGTTCCTGCAAAGGAACATTTTGTATTTCAGGTAAGAACAGATGACTGAAATGTAACCAACAGGCCCCATTTAGTCCTTAGCATAACAAATCCATTGTCTTTCATGTTTTGCTCATATAAATAAATATCATTTATTTATATCCCTCAGACATTTTTCCACAGAAAACCTGCTATGGACTGTATGTAAAGTCTGTTTCTGGCCATGGAGAGCTTTTAGAATCTTCTGTTAGGTCCTACACAATTCCTCTTCTTCATTCCAAAGGAATGTGCATTTGAAAATCATTATGAAATCTTGTTATTAAATACACAAATAGGCAGGATGGACAATATCTTGTCTTCTCATAAAAAAAAAAAAAAAAGATGTATTAACTGATGAATTAGTTGCACTTAATGTGCTTTCCTCTTCAGGAATATTTGATTTCAAGCACAGCTGATTATGGTCACTGGCAGCTACAGTCTCCAGTCTTCCTGCAGGTGGAACTGGCCAGTGTGGTCTACCTGAGCTAGAGACTTTTTAAAGCCATAAATGAAAACAGTTCCTGTTGATAATTTCCTTTCAAAGGCTAAATTGACTGTTTCTTCCCTGAAGGCATATTGAGTGGGTGGACTTAAGCTGGTATCTAGGTAGCAGGTATCAAAAGCCCAAATTGTTTCTAATTTGTTTAATGAGCCCTTTCAACCTTTATGTTGCCCCCCCTGCCCCCAAGTGCAGGCAGACTCCAAATATGTTTACAAATACTAAATGTAACTCTTCAGCATTCTTCTCTGTGGTGGCATGTTCTTCTCCTCCTCTGTTTCTAAATAAGAAGTTAATGCTGAAAACTTCATGAGTCCTGAACATCTTACACATGTTATTGTGACTGATGGCATGAGATTTTTGTGACAGAAGACCATTTTTGGGTCCTTTGACACCTGCTCAAAAAGGATTTGATCTGGTTGTTTGGAAAGCCTAAAACAAGTCATTTAGGGAAGCAGTTCTAGACAACCAGAACAAATGAGTTCAGAAATGCTTACAGACCAAAAAGGGTTAGAGAACTGAGAATGGACTATTTTAGCAGTACAAAAGAAGAGTCATGGTAACGTGGCTCTAAAAAATCAGAATGAATTCACCACTGTCTGCAAATGCAAAATTTCTAGTCAACAATTTCTTTGCACTGAAGACTTCTGCCAGCTGTGCTCTCAGAGTCCACACTGCCTGGTCAGGATGACCGCACTGAAGACTTCTGCCAGCTGTGCTCTCAGTTAGAGTCCACACTGCCTGGTCAGGATAACTCTACAGAACATTTGCTAACCTGATCTGCCATGGTCAAACATTTCCATTGAGTTGTCAGCTACAATCATGATCTAATGGTATTATCTTAATATTGATATTATCCAGCCCTAAAAGCTGGTGGATGTGTCTGTCATTATCTTTTAATGTGAGCATGAACTTCATGGACAAATTGCACTACACTGATGGGTGGTGCTGAACTCTTATTTCACAGAATGGTTTGGGTTGGAAGGGACTTTTAAAGGCCATCTACTCCAATCCCCCCTGCCATGAGTAGGAACATCTTTAACTAGATCAAGCTTGCTCAGAGACCCATCCAACCTGGTCTTGAATGTTTCCAGGAATGGAAACCTGGGCCAATGGTTCATCCCCCTCATGGTAAAAAATGTCATCCTTGTATTTTGTCTAAATCCACTCTTTTAGTTTAAAACAATTACCCCTTGTCCCATTTTAACAGGCCCTGCTAAAATGCTTGTCCTCATAGACCCCTTTCTGCCAGCAGACCCATGCAGTCTACAGTGGTTGGGGAGATTGTCTCTGCCCTTTGCCTGTGTAGACAACCTAGGACCAATTATGCTGCATGGTCAAAATTTTTACTTCAGTCTGGATCATACCCAGCATCCTGCTCAGTCAAGATCTTACCTGGTTCTGACACAGAAGAAGGAGAAAGGATTAGAGGCAGTAGCTACAGATGATCTGTTAGGAGCCTTCCAGCAGTGGAGATCCCAGTGAGGATGCTTTCACATCTTCACCTCTTTCATGAGCTCCAAAAGGTGATCTCTTCATTTAACACGTTGCACCCTCACACTAGATATTAAAAAACAAGCAAATTAACTGTCAAGGGAACATCCTGGAGGTAAGGGTGTTGCTCTGCAGTCCAGACTGTAAAAATAGTATTGATCTGGTGACTGAGAGGAAAAAATAACATTTGATTTTTCTTGAGTGAAATTGGGGTGCTGGGTGTTGCTGATACTGCTGCCAGTACCACAGTGTTGCTGTGAAGTGGGGGTGAAGCCACAGTACGTGTTGCTGATACTGCTGCCAGTACCACAGTGGTACTGTGGCTTACCCCCCACTTCACAGCAAATCTCTGCAGAGGATAAAGCTCACCCCAAGTTCTTCCAGTTCCCTCTACCTTCCCATTGGCAGTTCTAGCTGTGCAAGGATTCAGCATTATTGTTATTCACTCTAGCACTGAGCTGACCTGCATCCCCAGGCAGGAATTCACTAAGAAATTTGGCTGACTACCAAAACGATGTATTTTCACGTTGGCCAAAGCGTGGCAGTGGCTCTTTGCAAAGAGCTCAGAAAAAACGTGTGGCTCACACTGTGTCTCCTCTTATCTCTGCTGCACAAAAGTCACCAGGCGAAGCTGCGGTTTCCCGGAGCGAAAGGCACCGAGGGAAGGGTCCTTTCCAAATGTTCTCCCTGCTACTGCAGAGGAATGTGAAATGTGTTTTCTGTGAGACCTTGCATGGCCGGGCCAAGGCTGTTGGCTGGGCTGGAGGAAGCACAGGACAAACAAAAGGGCTCCTGCTAAGGAAAACAGGCACTGGTTTACCCAGGAAACGCTTCATTGTTACCTGTAGAGTCCAGCACCCAGTGGCTGCTTCAGCTCCTCAGCTGAAGGCAAAGGGTGAGGTTGTCACACTACTGAACATCTCTTACCTAACCCAGCTTCCAAGGAAGACAAACACGCTTCTGTTGAAGACAGAGCACCCCGGTGTCACAAGCAGTTACTCCTGCCAGATGCTCAGCGCTGCCTTGGCAGAGCAGCTGCAGGTCCCACCACAAGTGCTGGAGCAGCAGTACCATCTCGTGGGCAACACCAGCAGCACTCGCTGCCGAGGCCAGCCCTGCATTTTTTCTACACTGAAGAGGCAGGTGCAAAAACACCCCCCGTCGTTTTCACTTCTTTTCAGGTGCTCCCAGGAATATAACTTCCAGTGCATCCCAGGAGCTGCAGACCCCGCGGAGAAGCTCTGGCTCTGCACAGACCCAGCATCATAGAATCAGAGGAGCATTTAGGTTGCAAAAGACCTTCAAGATCACGTCTAACTTTAAGCTTAACATTGCCAAGCCCATCACTAAACCATGTCCCTCAGCACCACATCTACATGGCTTTTAAATCCCTCCAGGGATGGAGACTCCACCCCTGCCCTGGGCAGCCTGGGCCAGGGCCTGACAGCCCTTTTGGGGAAGAAATTGATCCCAATATCCAAACTAAACCTCACCTGGCACAACTTGAGGCCATTTCCTTTTGTTCTATCACTTGTTACCTGGAACAACAGAGCAATCCTACCTTGCTACAGCCTCATCCTTGTGGTCCTTGCTGGGGAGCTGCCAAAGGGTCCCACGTGAGCTGCAGTTTCCCACCAGGATTTGGCAGCACCAGTGCAGACCACCAGGCAGCACGTACCTCTGCACAGAAGGAGCTCTTTTCGGACCATGGCATTGTGGTAGTCCTTCCAGTTATTAATTAGTCAGCTCAGAGTAGCTCCCAGGTGGTGGCCTGGGAAGCCCAGTTTGCAGCAGTGCTGTGGAGGGCTTTGATCCACAGTTCTGGCCATGCTGGCTCTCTGTGTGCCCCAGGGAAAAGAGAACATTAGGAGAAAGTAAACTGGGTCCCTTTGGGGTCCCTTCCAACCCAAACCATTCTATGAAAGATGCCATCAGTGGCAGAAGGTGGAGAGATGCTCACCTCTGCCTCTTTTGGCACTGTCCTGCTGGGGACACCTGCTTCAACATAGCAGCTCCTGCAAAGACTCCCAGCTCTCTGTGCTGCCTCCATCGGTAGAAAAGCCCTTAAAATGATTTCTAGCATGACAAGGGCTTAATGGACTGCTGGGCTGAAAGCTGCATTTGCAAATTAGAGGCCTGCTGTGTATGTGTTAAGCTACAATTAGCAGAAAATAAGGTTTGGAAGAGACACTCACAGTAAACAGTGTCTCCCACTTCAGAGGAAGGACACGCTTTCCATCCCTCAACCCTCCACCCACCCACAAACATGGCAAGGTTGGCAGGGGCTGCTCACAGCCCTGGGCTCCCCAGGTGTCCATCTGCCTTCTCCTCTTATCACCCACCAAATGCATTGTTCTCCAATGATGTCTAAGGCTGCAGGAAGGCAGGAACATCTGTACACATCTGTACCATGATGACTGTGTTTTTGACCCCTGATGCTTGCAGGGCTGTCAGGTCCCAAGCCCATAATGTGACTGTTTTATCACCTCTGGTCTCCTCTGGTTGCACCAGGTACCTCACTCCCTGCATACAGAGAAACCATGTCCTTCATCTTCAGTTGGAACCCTCAGCCCAGCAGAGGATCCTGCACACTCCCTTGTCCTCAGCCTAACCAGCCACTCACACACCCTGCTTTTGACTCTGGCTTTCAGTTTTGGGGCTGTCTGCATCACACACATAGCAAGATGTCACTGTTCACTGCCTGCTCACAGTTTAGCCAACCAAACTGGGTCTTTTTCCTAAGGTTTTGAAGAAAATGGTTGTGGGATGAAAAAAGAAAGTGGTTAAAATGTCAGGGTTTATTTTTCTGGGTTTATAGACTC